TTTTTGGTCTTGGTCCCCCCCCCCCTTTTTTTTTTGCTTTCTAGGAAATGTCTTTTTTTTTTTTTTGAGGAAATTTCCCTTGTGCTGTCTTGGAAGTTTCCCTTTTTTTTTTTTTGCATTCTAGGAGCCTCCCCCACTTGTTAGGCCATTTCCCATTTCTGCCCCCAGCTGTTTCACCACATCCATCAGTGCACTTTGGCAGCAGCAGTCGTGTAAACGCACAGCTAATGCTGAACGGGCTTCTTGTTGCTGTGTTTGGCGCCCGTCTGCTGTCCGGATTTTAGCAGAGCTTGCTGAGCTGTGCCTCCAAAGGTGCGTTTTAAGCCCAGCCTGACATTTTTTTTTTTTGGTTCCTTACAAGGTACAAGAAGAGCTGGCAGCAGTCACTTTTTTAAAGAAGATATTTTAGGACTGTGCAGATTTCAGCTGTTACTCTTCTCAGCTCACTGATGGCTGCCAAAGGACAGAGGGTGCTTTCCCAACACTTCAGCTCTTAACTGCAGCAGGGTTTCCTCTGAAAGGTCCCCAATGCTCAGAGGAGCCGGAGCTTGGGGGCTGCAGTACAACCTGGGGCCCCAGTGCGAAAGGCCATGCAGACAAGCCCCTGTGAAGGTTTCTTTCAAGGGCATTCTTTATGCATCACAAAGCAGCAGGGCTGCTCTTTAAAAAAAAAAAAAAAAACCCTTTAAAAAACCAAAACATTTTCTTTAATCCACCTAAGGCGATCCAGAGCAAGAGCAGCATCACAGCACTACACACATCACAGAGAGCCGGCAGAATCGGAGAGCGTCACAGCCCCGATTCCTTCCCAGATACACGCCAAAGTCATGAAAAAAGGGAAGTGATTCACATAGGCAAAGTGACAAGTAACAATCCAGCCACAGAACAACTTTTTCTAAGAGAAAAGGGACATATCCAGGGAGAAGGCTCTCGACCTCTAGGCTTTGAAACAAACAAACAAAAAAAAAATCCCAAAACATTGAAACAGATTTTTTTCCAGCATTAAAAACAGAATTCTTTTTAAATTAATTTAAATATACATCTGAAACACAAACGCCAAGCAAGCATCTGGACTAACCAGTGAAGAGAAGGAATGAAAAATGAATTTGACCAGTTTAATTGAAACACTGAGGTTGGGTGGATTGCACCAAATGGAATAAATAACGGAGAAGACCACGCTGGGAGGTTTGCAGATCTCACGCTTACGATAATTTAAACTAGAATTAACAATACAGCCAAAGAGAGTACTTAATGAGGAATTTCTTCAACAAGGGATTTTTTTTTTTTTTTTAAAGCTCGCCAGCATCTCTTTGCCGGAAGGGGGTGTGAGTGTGGGTTTGCCACCACCCACCCACCGCCCCCGTCACTGCCCCGGCGCGAGCAGCATGCTGCATTTGGGCAATCCGGAGGACTACGTTCCTGCGATTGCGTGTTTGTGAGCGGCTCCTCGCTCGGGGCGTGGAAACCCTCCGGCCTCATCGCTACTGGCTGGCTCCAAACATCATCAAAGCAAAGCCACATCCAGCCTGTGCCAGGGGAAAGCAGAAGCGGAGCGTTTCTAGGGCGTCTGTCCCCCGGCCCTTGGGCCTCGGGATGCCTCCTCCATCTGCTCTCCTCTCCCCTTCTCTCCCTGCAGGGAGGCGAGGGAGCCATCGAGGGCCAGGCCAGAAGACGCAGCTAACCGTATGCCGGCTGCGGCAACTGCTTTCTGCCTCTGGGCTGGGCGGGCTGAAGGAATGTAAGTGGTTTATTTTTGTTTGGTCCCCCCCTCAACCCCATATCCCATATACCAAAAAAAAAGAAAAAAAGAAAAAAAAGTTGATCCCAAGTTCTTCTCCCTTCCCTGCCCGTAGCCGAGCAATGAAGCACCTCAGGACGTTCACGAGATCCCACAGACATGTTCACTGCAGAGCAGATGCCTTGTCTCTGCACCTCACCTGGGCACGTGCCTGCAACACCCAGTTAGGAGGGAAGTCCCTTTGCTTTAAAACAAAAATAATCATAAAAAACAACAGAAATGATCCCCTTCCCCTTCCTTTGTTCTCCAAGAATTCACCTAAGTCCAGCTCGTCTTCAAGCAAGGGAGCGGGCGGGGGGGGGGGGGGGGAGGAGGCGGGTGAAGGTTTCCAGGCTGAGGAACTCGGCCAGATCCAGCATCCACCCCCTGCTCTCTGAGCGACGCGGGGCCTCTCTCAGCAAGTGCCCTGCGCCCCAGGGCCCAGCACCCCCGAGGAGGGCTGAGCCCTCCTCCTGGGGAGGGCAAAAGGGCTGAGACGAAGGAGGGCTCAGGATCTTTCCTTTCCATCCCTCTTCCCGACCAAGGCTGGGAGGAGACCTCTGGAGCTGCAAGCCCAGTCTGTGCTTACCAGTGTCCTCGAGAACGACAGTTAAAAAAAAAAAGAAAAGAAAAGAAAAAAAAGTAAAAAAGATATGCATAACTAGGTAGTGTCCTTGGGAGGAGCGGGAGGGGGCCGGCTCCAGCTTGGGACGGAGAACAGACTCTCTCCCTCCACGCCTTGGCTCGTCTGGAGACCACGTCCCCTCGGTGTTCCCGCGCAAACCCTTTGTGCTGTTGCTCTGACACCAATCAACATGGATGATGGACACGGGGATGGACTCGGCGTGGCAGCAGGCGGGCAGGCACACGCGGGCACACGGGGGCTAGGCCCGGTGCTTCGGGAGCAGGTCCAGGAGGAACTCTGCGATGCCGATGAAGTAGACAACTTGTGCAATGCCGAAGAGGGGAGCGATGACCAGGGCTCGGCAGTACGCCCCTTTGAAGAAGGCTGTGGGCCCTTCCTTCTGCCAGATCTTCCTGGGGAGAGACAGCACAGACAGCTCAGCATCCACCCCCGACCCCCATATGTAGCTATATCTCTGTATTTAGATATATTTATAAACACGCAACAGGTCTGCAGCGGGCAGCAGCACAGGCCGTACATGGGATTTGCCAGCCTGCTTCGCACAGAGTCTTACTTGGTGCAGTCCAGGATTCCCGAGTACGTGTCCTCATTCACGCCTCTCTGCAAGGACTGCAGCCGTGTCTTGATCACTGGGGAGAAAGAGAGGAGAGAGGCAGGAGGGGGGGGGGGGGGCTGCAGTCCAGCCTCTTCAGCAGGTGAGAGCCACTTGGGAGTGACGCCTTGACACGCAGTCACACCGAGATCACCAGCAACGCAGACCGTTTTCACATAGTTAACGGCAAAACGGGGAAAACCAATCCATTCCTTTACAAACAGATAAAGGAAAAACACAGCCACCCAAAAACTGACCAACCCTCTCCCATCACTTCAGTCAAGGTTTTCAAGGCTGACCTAAGTTTAAACACTTCCAAAAGTTCAGGTATCTTTCTGCAAAGTGGAAGCTGATTTTCAAATGCTAAGGCCTTTCTGGAAAAGCAGCTCGAATGATCTAAAATACATATAATTGATGCTGCTCTTGAACTTCTACACACCTTGAAGTAGAGGTATGTGTAGTAGTGGGGAGAGAGGAGCTACTTTCTGGTGTTTGTCACAGCAAGGACACCAAGTGGTGGTATTTAAGGCAGCTGCGGAGGAGTAGAAGAGCCAGCCACAGCTCTGAGGCTCCCCCGGTTGCAGGTGACCGTATAGGTATGTGTAAATGCTCTGCATACGATCACTCCACACGCAAACATGCCCTTTTCAGAGGCATGTTCGCAGG